TAATGTGTGCCGTTTCGCAGTTTTATGAACCAAAAAGTCTCCCATTTTCCTCGGCTAATTTATGCAGGACGCGGCTGCTGTTTCCCCACTTTTTGTTCTCGCCTCTCTTTGGCTTTCCCTATCCCTAATAATTTGTAATTAATTTAGCATCTGGCCAGCCTTGCTTGATGGAGAACAGAAAAAAAAAAACAACAGCGGTGGCAGCTTTTTGTCATGCGCGCGCTTTCATACTTTCGGTGTAATTTTCTAAAGCAATTAATTGGACATTTTGCTAATGCGTTCGCCACTTGCAGTTTTTGCCCTCTATCCATCTTTCGCTTAGAGAATCGTGCAATTTTCCAAATTACAATATCGAAATTGTCCCCCAGCTGCACATCGCACTTTGCCATAGTTTTCTGGTTCGTTTTTTCTTATTGTTTGTTATATTTTTATGGCACTATCGATTTTCGCTTTTACCCGCTGATAAGTGTGGGGAAAAGAGCAGAAAAAACTTTATCAAAGCGAGAAACTAAGTTTGTTATTAGAGCGTGGCTGCGCAATTCCAAGAGAGTATTTTTCCTCCGACTCTGTTAGTTTGGTTATATATGAATATTATAAATATGCAGGGTATATTTACCCACGGAGCTCCATTAACCAGAGAACTGCTTCAAAATGTCGCATGCAACCGTTTGTTCAAAAGGGGGAGTAATATCGCTTTTCCCCACGACCACCCACGAATGTCAATACATCAACCACAACAAACAGAACGATGGAAAAGGGAGGTGATTGCCCGAACGAGGGTGGCCACTAAAGTTGTAGTGCTGCTCAAGCCAGCTTATATCGCTTCGAGAACCCTCGCCTCTCAAAATGTCACTGAACATTTATTTTCCGCTCTTGACCAAACTGCATCGGCCCAAATAGAGTAATTCGAGTAGGGCTAAAAACTCGAGAGCTTCTGGCCAAGAACTCTCCACCCGATAAGTGGGCGGGTGATGGGGGAGGGGGCGTGGCTGTGCGGACACTGATTGCACATGTGTTTGCATGCCATTAAAGCGGAGCTCCCGCAATGTTTACCAATGCGATAATTAGCCGAAGCCAAGAGCGGCCCCTCCGATTGTGTTGGCCAAAACCGAAAGCAAAGTCCAGACTAAAGGCCAAGTTGTGCCAATTTGCTAAGCACACACACACATGTTCGCCTGTGTGATTATGAATTATATTATAAATCCTATCGCCGCACCAGTGGAACACAACTTAAATGCCATTTTGCCATCTAATTATGTTATCCTCGTCGTTCTTGCTTATTTGCTCGCTATTTGTTGTCTGCTGTTTGTTTGTTGGCTCGAAGTGGAGGAAAGTGTGCAAACAAAAGTTGGAACGACGAGGAACGGCAATTACATGCGTTGATATTATTCAAATCCGCCGTAAATGTAATTAAGCTCATGAGAGTTGAGCACAAATTTATTTCCTCGCTCCAAGGTTGTCGTAAAAAATCCGCAATCCTTTTAGGTTTGCTTATCGGACTAATTCCTGCCAAGAAATGGGGCCTTGCGTATCGCATATAAATTGGCTCATTGCCGTGGGCCGTTGTCTCTGCGCTCTTTTGATTTCTTTTTGATAAGCATTGGCATTTCCGCTGGCTTTTCCCATTCAGTTGAAGGCTTAAAGCCGAAAGGCACAAATCGCTGTGTGCAGGAATGGATGGATGGATGGCTGGGTGGAAAGTTTTCGGAACATTAAAAACCAATCAGGCGCATTGTCACATAATCAGCTCCGCTGCTCATCGGAGTTTTCCAGCTTACATGTGGCAGCATGGCAGCGTGGCAGCATTTTCTCGCAATCTCCTCCGCTCTATTATGATTATTTTTTATAAGCTCTCTGGTGCTCTGGGGTTCATCGCTTCTGCTATCATGTCACACACAGGGACAACTCTTTGCCAACATAATAGTTTTGCTTATGAAAACAAATTCAATTTTGAAGCTGCTTATGGAAATGTTTATGCAAGACGTGAGCGCAAACTGTGCGCAGTGCGAGGGGGAAAATTAATGTCACATGACGGGGCGAGTGAGCGCGCACAAGTCGGAAAAGCAGGGTAGGAAATTCGAGGGGAGGGGGGGTGCAGATGGGCGGTTGGACTGGGCGTGGCACACGGTGCATGGAGCCAGATAAACGGCACAACGACGTCATGACTCTTGGCATATTTTGCAGTACAGTTTCGTATCGAGCTCTCCTAAGTTGACTCTAACAAATTGAAAATCATTGAACGCTGAGAGGGGGAGGGGAGGAGGGAAAGCGGTGTTGATAAAGGGATGGCACTGCAGCTGAAAAATATTGTAGCATACATTTAAGCAAATTGCAATTAAGGTGAACGAGTGCGGAGCTGTGGGACGTGCATGTTGTTTGTCTGCCAGCCATTACCCCGTTCATTGGAACGACTTTCGCCACCTAGCTATCCACCTTCACTTCTGCTGACAAAGTGTGCCAATACGCCGCACAAAGTATGCAACAATTTGCAGCATAAATACTTTGTGGACCACACCGCCCCATCCACAAAACTGTGGCCATGTGCGCTCCCTTATTTGCCTAGCTTTTGGTGAAACAGGCACCACCCCCTCATTCAGGCCTGGTTTTTAATGGATTTCTGTGCAGGCAGCTTTGTGGTTTACTGCAAGAAATGCGTTCTTTGTTGCCGCCGGCCCTCTTTTTCGTTTAGTACTTGCTTTGTTGCAAGGCCCACTTAAATTTCTGGCCAAAAATACCAAAAATACAATGTTTAATTTCTCGCCACGTGCATTCTAAATATGTCCCCTGACCAGTTATAGTTTAAAAACCCGCACAGCAACATTTTCCTAATTGCAAACCAACAAAGCACTTAATCGCGGTACACATGTCGTATACGTAATCCACAGAACAACGCTTCTGTATGCAAATGACTGCGGTTTGGCGGCACTTACACACACACACTTAACGCCTCGTAAAAACGAAACTAAACTCCAACTTCCGCCTGCTCGACGAACACATAATCTAAAATAATTTGTGCGCGCTGAAAATTTACACCTGCTCCGTTTGCCTTGCTCCTCCACAGCTCCTTTTCGACGCCTTGCGTGTGAAATATTTTCGAGCAATTGCATGCAACAATTCCCCGAATGCTTAAACATTTTAGGCACGCTTCCGACGACGTCGTCGTCCAGCCAGGGGCGTGAATTTCTTTTCTTGGCCTTTCTTAAGGGGCCCGGGGGTTAAGTCCCCCAACCCCCAACAGAAACCCTCGGCGAAAACTTGATTTTCGGGGGCAGCAAAACGGAAGCTGGGGCTTGGCAATTTCGCATGGCTGGCGTCACGCATACGCCCCGTGTTGCAGCAAATCAGCGAAGGCGGTGAATTTCAATTAAAGCCCGAACAGCAGGCGCCCGCTCCTTGCACTTGAAATGAATAACTATGGTTTTGGCCAAAGGCCTTGGTTTATTCCAAATTGTTATTGACTATTTGGTTGGTTGTATAGAGAGAGGAGAGTATCGAAGGCTTTTGGGTTGATAAAAGGGGGCGAAACCCAAACGTTTTTGTTGGCCAAACCGCCCGGAGTTCTGTTGGTAGAGGATTATTTACTTATGGACAAAGTTGGTGAATTGAAACGTGCTTAGGCCAAGTTTTCCGGGAGCGAAACGCTTTAAAGTTCGCACGTAAATTCAAACGGATTAGGGGCTTGTGAAAAATTGCATCAATTTGTGTTGTTTGCGTTCGGACTCTCCCTGCTACCAAAAAAACAGCGGACAGCTCCAAAACTAACAGCCAAAATAAAAATGCCAGATTTTTTTAACATAGAGAAAGCCACTTGTTTTTGCTACCTCCCTTCACTCCCTCCACCTTTTTTATTTTTCGCCTAACTTCTCACCGACTGTTTGGGTGTGTGGATTTTTATGCAAATATTTTGTCAGGTAGCCTGAAAGTCCAAAATAAACCAGCCGTGACGAGAGGAGAGGCGAGTCCCCAATGCGAAGCCACAGCTCGCCGGGATTCCGGCTTTGCGAGGACGACGTGGTGCAACTAAATCAAATCAAAACAAAAACAGCTCCGAAATGGCAACTCGGGTATGCCATTTTGGCATAACAAGCGCCATGCAAATTGAGTTCCACAACGTGGCACCAACTGTAATGTGTGTGTGTGTTTTTGCTCGCTCTTTTTTCTGCAACTTTGCGAGTGATTAGGTTAAAGTGTTTGGGTTAAACAAGGCCAGAAACTCTTGCATGCGACACTTTTAAAGTTAATTAAATGCCTGCCAACTCGCACGCTGTCTTGGCCATATTTTGCGGGACATTTTGGCAGTTTGTCGCAGTCTTCGGCTTTAATTACGAGACGTCGGCAGATTTGCGATGCCTGTGGTTGTGTTCCCATGGCTTCCTTATTGCCTTCGTCCAGTGGCTGCTGTTGCTTATTGTTTGTGTGGAATGGGATAATACCAATACCGAGGAGTGGTGCCACTCCGTTGGCTAACACTCACAATGCAACCGCCGTAAAGTAAAACTGAAAATGGAACCCCGAAGAAGAGCGCAGACCAATTTGGCCCGTATACTCGTATATATTCAGCACATTTTTTCCTGCGCCTGCCAAAAATTCAATTAACTTACATGCCAAACCGCAGCCGGCATAGAAAGGGCACCATTCCCCAACCGCAGCCGGAAAATGCCAGCAGTGGAAAACCCCCTGGTGGAAAACCCGCCTCTGGTCTGCGGGATGTGTCTGTGAGCCATGCTTCTCGTGGTTTCCCCTTTTCCGGCTTAGGGCCTTGATATTAGGGCTACTCTTCAACCTTTTGAACCCCCGCCCACCGAACATCCTTCCTCATGCAACAACAATAACAAGACGACATTTGCTAGCTTTAAGTTTTAGTTTTTAGTTAAACGAATTGGTACAACTAAACAATGTTTTCCGTTTATTTTTTGTTTCGTTTCGTTTCATTTATTATTTGCTATCGCTTATTGTTGTTGCATGCGTTGAAAATAACCAAATGTATAAAAAACGTGCAGTACCAACACTGCCGACACCACAACAACAACATGTTCAGACACATCACCACCAACAACACCACCACCACCTCAACCACCAACAACAACAACAAATAGCACCACCACCACCACAACAACAACAACAACAATTACAACAACAACATCACCACCATCAACTAGTTGCCCCAGCTCAATCGCACAATCTTTGTCAATTTAAAGAGCCACCGCTATTGGGACCCGGCGCCGCCTTCCCGCCATTCGGAGCCCCAGAATACCATCCCACCACGCCCGAGAACTGGAAGGGCGCCGCCATCCATCCCACTGGCCTGATGAAGGAACCCGCCGGTGTCGTTCCCGGACGCAATGCCTCCGTGGCCTTCACACAACAAGGACAGGCTCAGGTGAGTATTACTTTTTGGGGTTTTCCCCCTTTTCCTCGATCAGCAATTTTCCAAAGGAATAGAGGAGGTGCACAAATATAATTGTTATTTGTCCACAACTTCTGATCGGGACGGGACTACCTGTCGCCTTTCGAGCAAGACCGAATTTTAATTAACTCCCGTTGTTGTTCCCACTCCTTGCTGCTCCTTTTGCGAACGCGGACCACTTCTTCAGGGCGCCGTCATGATGGTCTACGGCCTGGACCACGACACTTCCAACACGGATAAGCTCTTCAACTTGGTGTGCCTGTACGGCAACGTGGCACGGGTAAGTTAAAGGAATTAAATTGTATTGTAATTAAATGGCGGTAGATCAAGATTTTGGGTTCCTTCAATGGAATGGAATTCTCCTTTTGGTAGGTCAATTGTAGTCTCTCGTAAGAATTATAGAAAATATAGTTTAAATGAAACTGGAATTTAAAAAATATATAAATTTCCTTAGCAGAATTGATTTTTCTATTTCACAAATTGGTGAATATGGTGAATGGTGAATTAACCCCTAAACCTCTTTGTATTTTGTTCGTACTTCATGGTCGATTAGTCCTCGTTTACTTTTATAAAAACATGGGAAAGGGTTAGCTGTTGACCTTCTTCTGGTTTTTAAGTAAACAAGAATTTAAGAAGGCAGACTAAAGTGTTCGTTTAACACCACTTGAAGCAACACACTCCCCTCACATAACAATATGGCCAACCCTTTGCTTATGACCTTTTAGATTGTAAAAGAAAGCGAAGAAAGAAATATCCTCAACTTGCACTTAGCCAGAAAGCTGACAAAAAAAAGGAGGAAGAGGGCAAAATACGCATTTCATTGCCGCCGTTTTGCTGGGTCGTCAGCACTTTGCGGCGAAATATCGGCCGAAGGAAAAGGTGTTTTTGAGTGCGAAAGCCAACCGCAAGACCACTTTGTGTCTGTGTGCCATTTGTAAATGTGCAAATAAAACGAAAGGCAATAAAAGGACGAGGCCAGGACACAGCCATGGAGTAGGCCAGTGAGCAGTTGAATCGGCAAAACACATTTAGATAAAGCGTTTTAGATTAATATCCCCGCCATGTAGGGTTTCTGGTTCGTTTTCCTTGGCGAGTGTGGGAAGATTTTGCCTCGGGACAGCAATCAGTGCAGCGTCATCAGCTTTATCTGTTTGGTAAAGCCCAAAACCCCCAACCCCCTACCACTCCTTCTCCACTCCCTCGACAATGGCAAAACGATTGGCAAGTCGGTTGTAAATCAAAACACGATGACGACCAAAAAAGAATCCATTAAAAAGCCTTGGCGAATGGCAAGTCGGAATGTGCTCATTGTTAGTCGCCAGGCGAAAAAGAAAAAACGCGCTTGGGGAGCATTTAGTAGCAGTGCAGGCGAGGAAAGAAAACGCCTCGGCTATCTAAACCACCCACTCGACCACCGAACAATGGGTTCTTGTGGGGAGCACCACCGACATCAAAGTCAAATGCTAAAAACTTCTTTGGCGTGTGCCAGAGCTTTCACTTTATTGCTACTATGATTCCGCCCCCCGTTCACTATACTATACTATAATGTGAATGTGTGTGTGTGTGGTAGAGTGTGTGGATGTGTCTCTATGTGTCCTTTGACAATTGCGCTAGCCAAGGACAACTGGGAGGGTCCCCCTGGCTTCCTGACATGTTTTGTTTAGTTTATGTCTGTGATAAAGCGAGTCAAGGCGACTCGAGGAGACCACCACGCAAACCACTTTCACTGCACACTGGAGTAGCTGTGGGAGCCAAAGGTTATTCAATGTTTCAAAGGAGTTATATCGTTAAAGAATTTCACTATTTCAGTAAGGGAGCTCGCACCATATCAATCGCATGAGTGGTTTCCTTAGAACCCTAGAAAAGTCGCGGTTTCTGCTTAGAAACAGAAATCATACCCTTGAGCCTCGTTTATTCCCTTCTTTGGTTTCATTTAAATCGCAGGGTACAGATCTTGCTTTAATTAAAATTGTTAAGAATAAACGACAACTATTGTTGTTGCAATAATTGAATACCAACATTTAGAATCATCATTGCTCTGGCTTTTCAGAGGATCTCCCAAGATTCCCCCACTTAAATGTAAATCGATTCGCCTCATAAAACACCGCCTTTGTTTTTTAGTGCTTTCCATTCACCAACTGCCCTCCATTAGCCAATAATTTAACTGACCTTTGCTTTACTTTACTTCAACCAAATACATTCACACTTCGAAGGACTCTCATTTGGTCATTATTTTAGCGGGAGGGCACGATAATTCAAGGCGCGGCCATTTAGCTCAGTTTCTTTTTCTGACACTTGCACCCATTCGAGGAAAACTAAGAAGGGGAAGGGGAAGTGGGAAGTGTGGATGCCCATGGGGGAAAATTTATTGCAAACTTCCTGTCCGAGACGGAAACTACTCATTAGCCATTAAAAATGATTATGCGCAAACATTATTCACTGGGCGGCTAAGCCGCAAACATACATTTCTTCCTTCTGCTCGCTGGCTGGCCCTCGGCTCTTGGCCACCCACACGCTTTTTGGCCCAACTCTCAGTTTTCCGCCCGAGTTTTCACCCCGCAACGCTAAAGCTCGGTTCGCTGCGCCTGTCGCTATGCAACTCAGTTCACAAGAGTGAAAAGCCAGGGTTGTTGGCTCATTATAAAGTCGATGCGGGGGCGGCATGTTTGTATTGATGTGTGTGTGTCTATATGTGTGTGTGTATGTAGAAGGGGAAGGACCAAGTCCGTTTGGATGTATCTGCGAGTTTATGGTCCGACATGTTTGAATTGCGAATGAGAAATTGATGGCCACTCAATCAAAGTGCCCTTGCCTGAGTTTCCTCGCCAGCCTCTTTTCCACTCACACCATCGTGTGTTGGTGTTAATAGGATTCCCAGGGGGAAGCGTTCCTCTCTAAATTATGGATAAACGAACCCCCCATGTCCTTTACCCCCTCTGAATTCCCGAAACGGATATACACAGTATTAGATTTCAATAATTTCGGCCCTAATAGGGTTTGACATAAACATTCTGCTGGAAAGAATTTGATTAACCTGCCAAAAAATGTGTTGCCCAAAAATTTTCAGCTGTCGATATTGACTAGGCAACCTGTCAAATGTGTTTTTTTTTTTGTTGTTGTGAGGAGGGGTTACCCAAGGGAGTTCGATGGAATTGTGTTTGCATTTTGCGATTTGTAATTTCCCACTTTCAGCCAAGAAAATATTGCCAAGCAGTTTCCTTCCTTCCGCTTCGAACGAAGCAATCTGGTTAATTATTTCTGGGTCCTGGCGATGAAGTCATCATCAAATTGATTTTCAGGTTAAATGGCATGACAAAAATAGGACAGGAAGTGGGGAGGAGATGGGGGGAGTGGGAAGGGGGGGGACTCAAGGGACTTCGACAAGCTGCTGACGGAGGGCAAAGGTTTTCGGAAAAGTCAAATTGAGTGGGAGTATGGTTCTTTAAAGGCCAACAAAATACACGCACTCAATTAAATACGCATTAAAAAAACATTTGGATACAATGTGGAGGTGATTTGGCAGAAGGGTCAGAGGGGGAGGGGAAATGGGGAGGGGGAGGGGGGAGCATAGGTCAGCCATTGCTGCTGCTTTTAAGCTGCGCGTGAGCAATTAAATCAAATGGCAGAGCAGACACCATGCCACATTGCACAACAAAGCGATCTCCGGCGAGAGGGTCGCATTTTAATTAACGCAGCGCCGCACTCCAGGGGTCGTGGGGTGAAATATATGGTGGGAAAAATCCGGGGGGAAAAAGGGATGATTGGGAGAGGGAAGGGAGGGGGAGTGGGGGTGGTGAAGCGGTACAGCAGAAAAGCACAGCTCATTAGACACGCACCGAATGTTTGGCGCTGCTGCGGCTGCGGCTGTTGACCAGCAGTGACCATCCAGCCATGAAGCGCTCTTTGATTTGGCCAAAGAATCCTGCTGGCGCGGTTCTATTTCCAGTTCATTGTATTTGTGTGTGTTGGCCAAGCTTATGTTTGCATGTCTGTAATTTCATTATCCTTTTGTTTCTGTGGGGATATTCAGGGGCTATCTGGCCGCTTTCTGCTTGACTGATTTATGATCCATATTTATTTTTATACATTGTTTTATTTTTATGATTCCGTTTCGTGTCTCGCTTCGGGTTTCGCTTTCGCTTTCGTATTCGATAAGCCTCATTTAGTTTTTATTTACTTTTGGCCCAGTCCGCCCCCTTCCTCTCTTTTATGCCATTTCTACTCCATTCAGGCGTATTCGTTTTGATTGGGGCCCACTTTAGACACACTTCACGAAGCGCCACATGGAATAGTTTGCCATACACACAGTCGAATGCGGATGTGTCGGGGGGTTTGGTTTAATTATAAGCAAATTGTTTGCCCCATTTACACACGGACCGCCGTTCCCCTTTGTTTACTCTGAAATGTTTGCAGTTCATTATAATATAATTGGGCGTGCGAAAGGACATGGGTGGTGTTTAATAATTGAATAATTTATTAAATGAGCTTATAATTTGTGCAGCGCGCAGTCGGGCAGAAGGGAAAAAGTGTATTGATTTTTATGCCCCGAGGACGACTTCTTGCCATTTCTGCACTTGTTCGCTGCTTGTGTGCAGCTGGCCTCCAACCCAGCAATTAGCCAACTAGCCAAGTGCCCGCAGTCATAATTAAATTCGGTCGACCCCAACTGCAGTCAACTGCAAATAACCGAGCGGAAAATAAATCAAGCCAGCTAAAAATTAACTAAACGCCAAGCTCACTTCTCGGTGCGTGTGCAATGAAGAAAAAAGTCCGACATCAATACGCCAAATTAAGGCATTTGGAAAACAAAATTGCAGCGGCGGCCGTCGTCGTCCAATTTGGACAGGTGCTCGACTCGCTCCTCTATTTTGTGCTAGCCAAGCGAGTCGATTGCGAAAACTAGTTTCGCTAGGCTTTGGCCAAAAAGCAGCCCCACTGGCGCATAGAGTATAGGCCGGCCCCCCTGCAATGAGTTCAATGCCTGGCAGCAGCGGCCAGCAAATTGATTTGCCAATTCAACCAGCCAACCAACCAACCAACTAGCCATCCAGCTAGCCAGTCAACCAACCAGGCAACCAAGCGAGTGAATGAACGAAGGAATTAACCAAGCTGAGCCGCTAGCGCATTTCCATCGATTTTCACTTTCTCCCGGCTCTCTGGGCCAGTTTTGTAATTATTGCTTGGCAAATTATTGCAGTCAATTACTTTTATAACGCAACAAATCGCTTTCGGCGAAGTGTGAGGGATTACGAGCGAAAACAATCATTTTCGTTGACTTTGGCACAATAAACTCGAAGAAAGCTAAACAAATTTAAAAGAAAATAAAACCGAAACTCTTCCAATCCAATTAAACTCAGCTGAAACTTTTTCGATATTTCAGCAATATTAACTTGCCATACAGATAATAATAATAATAATACAAGGCAGTGTCAAATGACAGTTCGGATATTTGTCAAGTGAAAATCACAGGCAATGAAAATATTTTCAGCTATTTTCGGCTATTGGGCACGTACACGCCCGACTTTGATGACCCAATAAGGAAGGGCGAGGCTATAAGCATTGTGGGTGTGGCAGGGCGTAAACTCATATGGCAGAAACACCATACCCACACACACATACACACCATACACACCCGCACACACACAATGAATGGGGAATTAAGGACGCCATTCTGTTATATAATTGCGTTTGAAGGGAATTTTAAATTGAATTCAATGAAAATGTAGAACTCTCCTTCGCTGCGTCGCTCTCCTGCCAGATATTGGGTTAAGTGCGAGAGATGACAGCGACAAGAGAATTCAATCAACCAGAGGAGGCACCCTTGGGCGGAAGGGGGTTAAAATATAGCGTGGGAATCGGGGGGTATAAAGGCCATACAGTTGGCCATCTGGGGCATATAATTTGATTATGGTGAGGTGGACACACACTGCAGGTGACCCGCCGCTCTTGTGGAATAACCAATGATGGCGAAATGTTTAATGTTCAACCGTCTTCTCTTGCAGATCAAGTTCTTGAAGACCAAAGAGGGCACCGCCATGGTGCAAATGGGCGACTCGGTGGCCGTTGAGCGCTGCGTGCAGCACTTGAACAACATTCCCGTGGGCACTGGCGGCAAGATCCAGATCGCATTCTCCAAGCAGAACTTCCTATCCGAGGTGATCAATCCGTTCTTGCTGCCCGATCATACACCCAGCTTCAAGGAGTACACCGGCTCCAAGAACAATCGTTTCCTATCGCCGGCCCAGGCCAGCAAGAATCGCATTCAACCACCGAGCAAGGTAGATAAAATAATACATTACAATATAAAATATATAATACTATATATAAATTTTCCTTTTAGATTTTGCACTTTTTCAACACACCGCCCGGCTTGACCGAGGACCAGCTGATTGGAATCTTCAACATCAAGGATGTGCCAGCCACATCGGTGCGCCTGTTCCCATTGAAGACCGAGCGCTCGTCGTCGGGACTGATCGAGTTCCCCAATATCTCGCAGGCAGTGTTGGCCATCATGAAGTGCAACCATCTGCCTATTGAGGGTAAAGGTGAGATAGTGTTGTGTTTAAGTGTTATTCAAAAGAAAGTTCAATTTATATATGTGGCCACCCTCCCGAAAACCGAAATTTCTACACAAAATCTCTCTTTCTCGCTCTCTCTCTCTCGCTCCGTTTCATTAAAAACCTCAAAGAACACGCCCCAATAAGTAGGCAACATAACTTTGCTTTTCCACCTCTGTTTTCACCCCAAAATTCGCAGCTGTACGATGGCCAAAAGTTTGGCAGCCATTTTGCATGGCCTTTCGACTTTTGGTGTTGTGCAGCAGCAACGGCAGCAGCAGAAGCCGCACATCAAAATCACACCACCCACCGCCCACCACCCAACACCCAAAAAACATTACCCTAAAAACTCCCACCACCACTTACCGTTTGTGCCCCCCAATGCAAACTTTAACCTTTCATGTTTCTTTGCTTGTTTTTGGCCAACAAACTTTCCAGTTACGTTGCCTGCGATGAAAATTTTAATTTGGTAATTAAGATAAACAATTTCAGTTAGCAGTTATTCATAAATGGGTCGCGCTCGCCGCGTTGCTTCAACAATTAGTTCCAGGACTTCTCGCGATTCGCGCGACTCGCTTGCCAAACGGGTTGACGACCGATATAAACTTTTCGCATAAATATTTCACCAGCAGCAGGTCGCCCGAGAACAAATTACTATTCTGCAAATTCCCCGAGTTTTATGAGCTTGTTTACAAGGCCAATATTCATTCGACATCCAGATCATTTAGCATTGCATTTATTCAGTTTTTCTTGACTTTCAAAATACCTCAAAAACAAGCTTATAGCTTGCAGACTGCAGAGAGTGGGCGGGGAAAATCGATTAGGAAAGTGGCCAACAGAAATGTTCAATGCTCATGCATAAATTGTCGATATCCTCGATTTGATTATTTGTCGTTGGCGCATTTGTGATGCTGCTAGAAGGGTTGCTCGAGTGCATGGTAAATAGTAATTAAAAGTGTAAAGAACGCAAACACAATCGCACGGATGCAAGTGGGAAATGGGAAATGCAAATGCAAATGCAAGTGCATGCCGACTGCAAACACAGGCGGTGGAATTATGCTGCAAGCAAATATATGGCTCTTTTCACCCTCCGTCGGGCGTACTGCTGTTTTCGGTATTGGTTATAGTAGGTATACAGGGCGCATTACTAAACACATGTTGTCCTTGGTGCGTAGAAGCATTCAGCCAGAGGGGGGACTTCAATTGCATTGGCGGGCACACGACTTTGTTCATTTTTAACCCATCCACACAAAAAGAAGAACACCAACCACCTTCTCCAATACCTTCGCACAATCAAAGATTGTGTTTGCAAAATCAATAAAACTAAATTCAAGAATATACAACACTTATACACTATACTACACCATAACTTAATGAATATGTGTGAATATAGCATTGTTTTCGTCAAGGAACCACACCAGCTTATACATGTTTTATGCGTGCTTTTCCACCCCTTCTCCTCGCAGGCACCAAGTTCCCATTCATCATGAAGCTGTGCTTTTCCTCGTCCAAGAGCATGAATGGCGCCTGGAACAATGCGACCAGCGAGGGCATGATCGAGAAGGAGAACGAGGTCGATACCAAGGTGGACATCTACAATTGAGATTTGATTACGATTGTGTAAGCAAGCAAACAACAACCGGCTTAACTAGAACACAATACAAAACTATACTGAAAGGAGGAGTATTGATCCGTAGACAACAGCCAAAAGACAACAACATCAACAACAACAACAACAACAAACCAATGCAACAGCGTCTACAAACTGCAACTGCAACGTTAATTGCAGCAACTACAGCTTCAACAACAACAACAACAACAACACCAGTAGATCGACAAACTTGATGATGGCTTACACATTCGAAATGACAAGATGACGGAGAATGCTGCGGCAAACAACTGAAGAATTTCAAACAAATTGATTGCTAAATCAACTTAAAACAAAAGAAACCAACTATAAATAATTCAATTGAGCGCAAACGCATGTAACTTTTCTACGAGCCATTTGCATAGATTTACTGAATACACCATATATATATATATTTATATATATGTATATCGATTCAGCTAATTAATATGACAGCCTATGTACGATATGGCCTCGTTCAAAAGCCACACGGAATGAACACTCGATGCACATTACAATACATTACATGCGTTTGCGTGGCAACAACAAAACAAGCAAAATAATACAAAAAATTTTGAATTGTTATTATTGTTACAGTGAAGCATTAGGACTTTCTCACACAACAGCAAGAAAAAAGCAAAACAACTCAAAAACCAATTGTAAACTATGTAATGTTTAATTGATAAAAAAAACAACAAACTAAACCAAAAATAAATAATTGTAATTCAAAACGAAACCATGTTAAGAGAACTAAAGAAATTCCCTGCCCCCGCTCCGCTCTTCTCCCCCCACAATGGCACACACCCTCCACTTTGACCTTTACCCCCACTTTCCACCCGTCCACACCCAATTCCCATGGCAGACTTCTGTATAGTTAATGTAATATGATTTGAATTTGGATACGAATATATTAATGCAACAAAAAGAATCATTTCTTTGGACAATATTTCGACAAGTATTCGGCGTGAGAAAAAGTCTTAACAAAAAATATTTATTGAATGGATAATATTTGTGTAAATTAAAACCAAAAATTTAGCAATTTTAAATGAAATTTATTAATTTTAGTTATGCAAAAACAAGCCCTGCAAACTGCTGCACCGACCACTGCAGCACGTTTGCAGTTGATTTTAAATTTCTTACTTTAACAAATATTAAACAAAAACAAAAAACGAAAAAATAAAAACTTGCACAAGCCAATGTTTTTACTATAAACAAACCAAGAAAAGACAAGATGGTAAACATAATTTTTGTGCTTAATTTACAAAGTTAAAAAAGGCATAAATTTATATGTATGAGATGTATTTGTATTTACATTAAAATTAATTTTAATTTACACTAAATGTAAAAAGCAAATTAACTAAAACAAAACAAAACAAAAGAATAAAAAAAAACAAAAGCTAAGGAATAATAATAAAACCTACAAGAAACTTTAGTTAAGTGCAAATCGAAGAGAGCATCTAGCATAGTTAAGCAGCAGCATCGCTCAGAATTGCAGACAGCAAACATACAACAAACAACATATTTTTGAGGCGTTTTAAAATTAGAAGACAGAGCCAAACATTTCAGAACTCCAAGTGAAGTTAGCAAAGCAAAGCTACTACTAAAGATGGGTGAGGGCGTATTGCAAATGCGAATAAAAATAGACGAAAAAAGAATTAACAATATCAGCAATAAAGCAACAGCAACAACACCATATCAAAGGCGTATGTTAGATTACCTATAATATAAACAAAATCAACATAAAAGATGAACAATGATAATGTAATACGATAATCAATGAGTTCAATTGAGTTGTATAATTTTATTTTTAAGCCCTTCGGCGGGCAGTTTGGGACCCAAAGAGATCCGAGCTCATCTGACCATCAAAAGGGCGTTGTTTTATAATACATTTGTTTTTAATGCAAATCAACGAATACACAAATACATAATGCTAGGGCCGCTAAACGAATTTTCTTCACTTTTTCGTAGTTCACCGCTTGACAATATTGTTGGGCCTTCATGTAGATCATTTCATTCATAAACTATCAATATAACTATGTGCAATTTGGGCTTTAAACGAGACTTCGTTTGTTCTTTTTATTTATTGCAATTTTCTCATTTCGACAACTAGTTCGTGTAATTATTTCAAGTGTCTTTACAGTCTTAGTTATTATGTAAATTGTTTTTTATCCTTAATTGTAAAATATTTGCCTAAAAATTAAGTATTATTGTACTTAATTTAAATAATTTACATGATTTAATGACAAACGGGAATTAATTATAAAGAAGCAAACAATCTCGTTAAAAATTACTTGATAAATATTACTTTAAGAACATAAAGCAACAACGATCTTGAAGCTCCTAATTAGATCATAATCAGATCAATAAACAAACTACTATAATTCAATAATATATAAAATAATATAAATAACAAACTTGGTAGCTATTTAATTTACGAATATACAAATTGTAATCTGGAATTTTTATTGTTAATAGTTTATTTTGACATTTAACACAATTTATTTTGTGTTTTATTTTTCTTAACTTTAATTTTCTACGCGTAAAAATAGAGACATAAATATATTTATATTGAGCTGGTGAAATCGTATGATACTTGCCTAAATCAAATCACGGCAACGTCAGTTAAATATATAAAATCATAAATATATTTATGCGTGTATTTATATGGTTTGTTTTATTTAATATTTAAATTTTGTTGTTATATTTTAAAGCGTATTTTTTAAGCCCAGAGTTTGTAACATGCGCGCTCATATTTTGATATAAATATATATGTAAAAGTATCTGGCTATTGCATTTTTATTTTGACCAGCTCACCCTCATCATTGTCAGGTTTTTGTATATTCTGATAGGAATTGAAACGTGACAAATAATTTGCTTTTGAAACTATAGAAAACTCGCAAAGCATTTAAAGCAAAGTATAGTTTTAAAAAACATCCTCTAACGCACATCCTTTTCTTTTCATTTACGGGCATTGAGAACAGCGACTAATGAAGAGTAAACCTAAACTAAATTATATGCCAAATAATCTCTAGTGTTATCCTGAATTTTGAACATATCAAAATTTTGAAGCATTCAAATTTAAGGGCCTAAGTTTTGAAATTATACAATTTAGGCATTATAAATATATAAAAGCAAGGAAAAAAAGAACCCGGAGCACTTCTCAATAAGCAGCAAAACTGCGAACAGACATAATCCCTACAATCCTCTACGAAAACGCCAATAAGAATTGTATGTAAGCATATAGAGCAAACAAAGATTTAAAAATAAAACCCAAACATAGATTTAAGCTATAATTTGTAATAAGTAATTACTTTAAAGTATTATTTAAAAACACATTTTAAACAAATTTGAATACTAGGAAAATTTTTTATGTTTCTTTGCGCTTTTGTTCCCAAATCGAAATTTAGCAAGAAAATAATCTTCTAGTAGCAATTATTTAAATATAATTTAAACGCATTCGAAATTAAATAAAAGAAAATTAGACAAATTTCGTTAAAAATTTTGTTGAACTGAAACAAGATCATTTAAAGGTTGTCAACGACAAGAACTTGTTATGAAGGCCTTCCCAAACCGCTGGCTTTTGCTAATTGCATGTAATTTTATGTAGCGATTTCTTTACTATAAGTTCATTTAAATTACGTTTGCAATTGCCTCGTAGTTTTCAACTCCAAATAAATGCTCATGGGGTACAAGGTAGGTGCTGTTTATAAGTAACAACTCACAATTTTCTTAAACTTGTCCACCCAATCAAACATTGGTTCATTCGGAGCGCCATTTTCTCAATGATGGCAGGTCCACGTTTTGAGTGTGTAAATTTCAATAAATTCGTCTTAGTTCGTTAGACAATTCGCCTAATGACACCAACTACACAAATGGACCAGTTTATTCAATACTGAATTGACAACCACCAAGAATCAAAACAAAATGAAATTATTAAAATTTGTGAAACCGTCCAATTATGAAACAGCAACAACAGCAACACACTGACACCACACACGAGTTGAAAACTGGGTACATTACTACTTTAAAAAAAGAAGGGAGAAACATCCGAGCAGTGCTCGAGTTTCTGAAGTGTCTTTCACTGAGCTTTATATTGCAAACATTTTGAAGCAAGGGTTTTTAGCGACACCAAAAAGTTTTCGTCTTCGGTTTGCGCTTTTCGACCTATTTTACTTCTGTGGCGCTTGAACCTGCTTACCAGCTACGAGCCGCATTCAGTTTGCTACGAAAAAAATCAATCTACGATCCTGTGAGAGCTTTTGTTTGCTACTATCGTTTTCTGTTCTTTAGTTGATATACCCCGAGAGGCAAATGAGAAACACTAAACAAAACAAGAACTTTGTACACCGAAACGAATTCATAATAATCTAGAATGCATGTGCATAATGAGAAGATGGAATAAAACCTAAAGGATAAAGAAACCTATGAAAAACGAATAAGTAAAAGATGAACAACTACAACTATATTCTTATAGGCTTATAGTTTATACTTACATACACACATACAAATACTTATATACATAAATATTTATATATAAATATATATATATCAGAGATCATAACATACATAGTAATACGACACCACATCCACATATATACATTCGAATATAGTTTTTAATAAACGAGGAGGTAGCGCGAGTCAATTTTAAATGCAAGAAAATCTTAAACCAAGCAAAATCTTACAAAATGAAGCGAAAATCAAGCGCAAATATTAACAAAGAAGTTACTTTGGCGTTATTAGTAATGCAATTACATGTATGAGAAGCGAATACTTACATAATTACACCACAAATTACACCCACTACACAACAGACACAAATACAGATACAGACACAGACAGACAAACAGGAGACACAGATACAGACACAGACAGACGAAGGACGAGGCAAGTTTTAAAGGGCAAACGGACAACTGCATAGTGTAGTCGTATGCGTAATTACTGGTGATAATTTTGAAAAAAAATCTAATACAAATCAAATAATATGAGTAATTTTAACATAAGCAAATGCTAGCACGTTTGAATTTCCAATAGATGTCTATTATGTATTAGAAACGTATATAAATATATATTGACGATTCCTTATTATACACACATACCTAAATGTCTTAGTGTGCAAGTATGTAAAACAAAAACAAAACAAAAAGTAAGCCACAACGCAACGTAAACGAAACTGCAAGAAACGAAATTCGATAAAATCATTTCTCCCCACGAACGAGAGTATTAGTGAATTAGGCCTGGTATTTAGCAGAAGTTACTTAGTTCCCTGGCAAGCAGCATGAATGAACCACCCGCCCGCAGGTCCGCTCAAGAACCTGGCCCAAAGGAGCTCTACGGCCCGGCTGGGCCCTAAATAATTTATTAGCAATTTTAAGCTCCCCTCTGCGAGTGGGTTGCCCGGTACAATTGCATACTTTCGGGCTGCAATTAGTTGGTGTATGTGTGCTGGTGCTTAGTTCGAATGCAGGCCTGTGTGGGTGGATTGCTGCTCCGCAGGACCTGCACTTTATCGGTACTCCAATGTGGCAGCCATGACGATTCCGTTTAACAATAGCCGACCGGTTGTAAGCCAACACACACACACACACATAAACAGAGAGACACTACAGAAGGAAACGCACACACTCACTTAGAGCCAAAACCGCAGGGCAGTTGTGCAATATAATTTGACTTGTGTTCGGTTAACACACACAGACAAACACAAACACCCTCATCTAATAATAATAGCTATGTTAATATGCAATTTAGTTGAATTTTCGTTGATCGGTTTAGTTTAGTTTAGTTTAGTTAGTTCATACTTTAATTTAGGGTTTGCTGTGTGGCGGAAATGGGTTCTGGATTTGACACCACACACATACACTTGTTAAACTAATCCACCGAATAAATACAATCTCATTAACTAAATTTAATAATTAATGCATGGACAAGCCAATTTCGCCGTTTCCGCCTCGAGCTTTGCAACTTCATTGCGTTCGGGCAGCGGGCCAACATTTAATTACCTAGGACGCGACTGTACCGCGCGCCGCAAGGTGTAGCATACTTGTGGGAACGCCACTGTGCAGGGCAGAAAGACAGCAAGGAAATCGAATTCCAAATACCGAATAGAGACAAATTTAAATCGAACTTTCTAAGTGTTTAGTTGAAAAGGTCGTTAACCATTCGTATATGCTAATAAAAAGAGTAATAAGCTAGTAATGTGGAAACCGAAACACACTACTCTTGCATACATACATACACACTGACAAACTCTCACACACACACACAACATAAACATAATTATATACTAAGTACACGTATAACATACATTTACACTCGTACATAAACGCATACATAAAAACTTACATATGTATAAGCCTATGGAATGCAACATAATCACAGCAAAGTCCTTTTGATAACCGATTTTTGACTATGTACGAACTAATTTTTGAAACAATTCTGCGTCGCATTTACACACAGGCACACAGACATAATCAGCCATAACCAGACATATATACATATATACGTTTATATCTATATATACACACATCAATCTTATCAGGCGAGGCAAACGCATTAACAAACCGCAAAAAAACGTAAAGATATCATGTACTGCACAGCAAATTTGCGAAAACAGGACAACAGTCAAACCAAGTCACACACACAATTAATGGACACAATGAACAAATTATTAGAAACTATTCAAAACTACTATTTATTAAATGTTGTTAGCATCAGAAAACCGAGAATAAGCAAATTATGAAAACGCTGTAGTGCAAATGCAAAAAAAAACCTAAGAACAAAGAACAAAGAAAATTGTAAACCATCATTGAAACTTATTTATTTTTAAGCCAAGCGTTGCGGCAAGCAAAAAACACAGCGGAAAATAACGATAAAAAAAAAAGAAATTCAAACATTTACAGCCACTTCAACAAATCCACGACAAAAACAAACAGTACATAAATACAATTCTTTGATCTTAAACCAGAAACCCAAAAACGAAAACGAAAAACAAATAAATGAAAAACTTAAACTTATACACAAAAGAAACTCGAATGAAAACTTTGTTTTATTTAACAACAATTAGTCCCGCAGTAGTACAACCTCTACACAGAAAAAAATTAGATATTGCAAAGATCAATATATATCAATTCTTTATATAATATGTAGACACCAACATTTTTTGCAACCCACTTAAATTGATCTCAAATATCTAATTACTTTCTGTGCATTATTTTCAACTCACTTTACTCACCTATACTTTTGTCATATTTGCAGTTAGCAACAACAACATTACAACAAGTACAGCTAGTACAGTTAGTGGAAACTACAACAACAACAAGCACCTCAGTCACCAAGCCCAAAAACCAACAAACCACCAAAAAAAACCAATCCAATCAACAAGAACAAACAACAACAACTACAAAAATAACAACCACCTTCCATTACAAGTACAACAACAACAGCTACAACAAATAACAATAAGAAATCGACATTGAATCGCGAAGCATTTTAAAGTCTTCCATTTAAATTAGTTTCGTTGCGTAAAATAGTTTTGCTAATTTGTTGACATTGGAAACTACACACTTAGTTAGCCACTTTTCAGTTGCTTGCTGCATGTGGTAAGTAATTGTAGAGCCTAACCAACTAGATAAAGACACTAAGTAATGCTTACACAATGAAAGGTCATGAATAGATTGTTCCAATATCAAACTTTATTTGTAAAACTAATAAATGTAACCAATTGTATTTTTTATTTTATTCTAATCCCACAAATCGATTGACATTTTTGAAAGGCTTTCTTTGGGACAGGCCTAATTGAAAATATGGCCTGAAAATCGCAGATAACAATTAACACCCACTGAACAGTAAAATTGAATAATCCTTGCAGTAACCTAATTAGCCTCAGCCCGCAAAATTTAAGCCGATAGTTAATTAATTCAAAGCCACACACATAAACAAAATGATAATGAAGGCTGACATTGGGCCAACAATTAGTTCCCCAGCAAGATATTTAAACTAGGAAGTTCTGGATTAAAATTTGAGATTACTGTGCAAAAGTTAACGCAAATACATTCAAGAATGTTTACTTTAAACAGTTTTCCGAACAACTTCTGTCGGTTTGAAGAACTTTAAAAACTTAGGTTCTCTTCACTTGGGAAACTGGTTAACTTGATGCCAGAGGGCCGCTTTTCCAATCATTTTCCGCATGACCGATTTTGTGAAATTGCATTTAACAATGTTTAATTAAAGGGACTGACCGCCGGCTGCCTGTCTTCCGACCAACTTAATCTGGGGGCAAACTTTTTTAAGCCGAGCCCCCTGCCAGGAGCACTGAGCATATTGTAGGCTAACGGCAAGAGGAAAGGGTCAATCAGAGGGGCCAGAGAATCATTTATCAAACGACTTGAGCCCACACATACGTGTAGCAAATTCCGGCCTGGTCGAAGCGTAGACCCCTTCAATCTACGGCTACAACTAAATGCCTAAGCCATGTCTTTGCTCGCCTCTCTCTGTTTGTGTTTG